TTATAATGAGAGGGATCAACGTGAATGCTCAGGTTCCACCTTAACATGCAGACACGTTGCTTCACCATGAGCAGAAACCTTTATTTATACAGTCTATGGCAGAAACTCTGAAACTCTTGTTAAGTTTCTCCATCGTTGTGTACAAACTGGATAAAACGCTGGCTTTTTGTTGTTGTTCAGGAGTTGATCTGTCTCTGCCCCCGCCTCGACGTAAGCGTGACGTATGTGGTGCTTTTGCTCTGGCCTGACAATTTTTTGGTGCTTGAGACGAACCGGATTCCGGAGCTAAGAGGCGGCTCCGCTGCGGTGTGAAGAGGAAAACCCGGTGCTTTTCAAGCTCCAGCTCCGAACCGGCCCTGAAACACCGTTGGTGTGAATGAGGTAGAGAGAAAGAGAGACAGAGAGAGAGACTGAGAGAGTTACATGGGTTGTTGTTAGCATCTGGTGCTAGCTCGGAGCTAACGGAGATTAGAAGCTGTTTCAACAATAAGGAGAGGGAGAGTCCTCTCCTGTCGGACTGAGAGAGCTAACGTCAGCTCAGGGAGGTAAAGGACTCTGAGGGATTAGGTTGTAAACGTTAGTCTAAATTATCTCAGTGGGTCTCAAACGGTTTGGTCATCTATGTAAACAAAGATTTCCATCTATGTAATATTAGTTGTATATAAAATAAGTTAAGAAATCCATCCAATGTGTACTATAGGTCAGTACAAAATAAAAAACACAGTTTAAAAGGGGAGTGATTAGTCAAATATGCATAAATAAAAAGAAAGAATGCAGACTAGGTAAGATAAAGATAGGAGAGAGGAGTTGATCAAATATGTGTTATTGCTTGTGAGCATATTCTAATGGTTTTTGATTATTGAAATATATCAAGTTCTGTTTCATATGATTGTTGAGAACTGTATCCATAAATCTCTTAATGTTGCCCTCAAAGTGCACCAGATTGATGCATTCAACTTCAATTTAAAGAAATACATCTTCCCGGGGTGCATGACCCCCCTAGAGGATGTGAGGTCATCACAAATAAAACAGGTTCACATAGGATAGATAAGTGTGGACACTCATTATATACACTACACATTTTTCTTGGATTTGTTAACACCATAGTCCCTAATATATTTGTAGAAAGGCAGGAAATGGAATTAAATTGAGAAAATGTTTCATTGCGGAGGACCCCCTGTTTTGTGTCCCCCCCACTTCTCAAACCAAAGTTACACCCTTGAGTATAGCTAATTGTATCCTCATTATAATGTTATGTTATCTAATGGCTGTAGTATGAAGGTACGAAATAAAGTTTTGAATTTTCGGTAAAAAGTGGTTTATTATCAAAAGAACTGTACAATGTAAACAATAGACAAAAATACAATACGATACAAATATTATGCAATACAGGTGAGATGAAAATGAAAAAGAATAGCCGTCTGTGTGTGCCTTCTTATTCGTTTGTTTGGGTCCCTCACTTCCGTTTCGCTTCTCATGCACTGATTCGCTAAGCTGAACAGCCAATCAGAGTGATTTTTTTGGCCGACGGCCTTTGGCGGCGGAAGGTGACGGCAAGGCCGAAAAGACACGACGGTGCGGGACCAAGCCCCCAGGAAGTGCGCCAGACTCTGAGGAAAATATTCGTTGTGGCCAAACGGCGGTACGACAACTTCCGTATCGGTCGCTGGGCCCGGAAATACTTTTTCCCATTGACTTACATTGGGAAAGAGTGGTCTGAAACGTCTGTAAATAATTGGATAATTTGAATTGTATCTAAATAAACTACCCAGTATGAACGTTTGTATAGCCCTTATTAAAAACATTCGGTGCTCAAGTTGTAAAATGTGCTAATAACGTTATTCTGAGAGTTATTTTCCTCTGCATTATGAACGCGGATCTTAGGATCGCGCCGCCCGGCACGTTCATGTGACGTGTTCAGTACTACATGAGTTTTATCTTTACCCATGGCTGCACAATAAGAACGGATGATACTTTCGTGACGTGTAAGGTCCCATCATACTTGCCAACCTTGAGACCCCAGAAATCGGGAGCATTACCAAAACCACCGCGGGGGGGGGGGGGGTGCTAGTGGATCGCCGGAGCTGTAGTAGATTAACATTAACATGCTTATTGTAGTTGTAAGTGCACTGTCTTGCGGCCTGTAGCATCTGTGGGCTGTATTTTAGGAAAGGAGTGAGCAGAGGGTCGTATTGTCGATTCTTGTTCAGTTTTCTGTGACTATCTTCCTCACCCTCTCAGACTCTCAGTTGCGCGCGCTGCTAAAGAGACGCGCTACCATGGAAACCAAAATATGGTGTAGCTGTATTAAAGTCCGAGTGGAAACAGTCCTGAGTAAATCTGATTTTGTCGGAAATCGGGAGAAATGCGGGAGAAATATGACCCCGGGAGGAAACCGGGAGTCTCCCGCGAAAATCGGGAGGGTTGGCAAGTATGCACACCATGCCGATTTCGGCCGTCGTTAGAGAAACGCGGATTTTGGGTCCTTAGCTTGAAAAATAAATAAAAAAGGAGGCGGAGCTAATGCCTGATCAGAATTATACCGGAGATAAGGTTAAATTCTGCTATGATAAAACGCCATCCTGTTCTAAACCACATCAAGGATTATTTCTGAAACAGCATGGAGCTCAAATGATTTTTCTCTTGCGGGTTTCTCACAAGGTGAGTTCCTTTTTATTTCCTGCTTCTTCACACACATGTGCTCTAAAGCAAGTGGTGCTGCTCTGCATGATTGAGGTGTGAATGGGTGAATGACTCGTAGTATGTAAAGAGCTTTGGGATCGTAAAGAGATGTATAAGTGCAGACCAGTGGCGGTTCTAGAACATTTTACATGGGGGGGCAAAGGGGAGGCAAGAGGTCATGCCAGGGTGGCATAGGAGGGCGGACAGTACGTGGTATTTTATACTGTATATAACCTATTTATTGTTAATTCATGCCCTAACACAAGTGTTCTTAATGCACAAGAGAAACAAGGTGTTCAGACAAACAATCGGGTGCCCTTTGAGTCCCCCAAGCTTACCTCAACCATTTTAAATGAAAGGAAACTACAAAATGTATTTTAAAGCAATGAATTAATGGAACAGGTTGTTTTGCATTACAATGTCAAATTAAATATATATTTTGTTTTAAAAAAACTAAAAATTGGTTGTCTTAGACAGACATATTTGCATGTCCTCACTAAGCATTATTACATATTAATTTAATATTAAACAAATCAAAATGGCCAATTATCCCAAAATGTTGCTGCTAATATAATCATATGCATGTCAACTTTAACTGATCAAAAATCAATTCTGAAAAAATACTTGAATTATCTATGACATTGTAATATTGTCCCTCAGTTTGTTTCAACCCTGTCACGCCATACCATTTACCCTCCTATTAAAATAGTGGATCAGTCCATGTGTGGATCAGTCCATGTGTGGATCAGTCCATGTGTGGATCAGTCCATGTGTGATCTGCATTGAAGGAATTACATCACAAAAGTGTCAGTTTCTTCTCTTACCTATATTTTAGTTTTTGTATTTTCAGATTAAGATTGACAAACTCAACATTTCAACTATGTTGTATGAATTAATAATAGTAAATAATTGTTTATTACAAAAATAAACAATAGTTTTGCAAAATATTACAATGTTGTAATGTCCTTGACTTCCATGTGGTGCCATATTTTAGCTAAACAAGGTCTCATGCCTACTTTTTGTCAAAAACTTCAACTCTGTTACATTTTTTCAAGGAAATTCCTAGTAATTTTTTATATTTTGTGCCTGAGGTGGGAAAATGTAAGTAGTCCACTACCAGATGTTATGACCAAACATTTTGGTTTCATTTTTCAAAGATATAAAGACCCAAAGGGCACCCGATTCAGAGAATACTCAGAATTCTGCATACTGTAAGTACTTAATTATAATTAAGTACACAAATGACATCACCCATCTCTTCAGAGAGCTACAGGTGACCTGTGCAGCAACACATTTCAATCAATATTTGTCAATACTAAGAGCTGCTAGATTGAGCTGCTGTAATGGAATATATAAGGAGAATAAGAACATACCATGTGGTCCAGCTGGAGTTTCATCTGCCTCCTGATCCCTGCCTCTGGCCCTCTTTCTGATACTTCATCTTTATTCCTCACATATATTTCTTCTTCTTCACTAATGTCTTTATCTCCTCCTCTTCCTCCTGCTCTGACCCTCCTGGTCTCTTCATCTCCTCCTCTTCCTCCTGCTCTGACCCTCCTGGTCCTTTCATCTCTCTTTTCCTTTTCCTCTTTCTGTTCGTCCTGATCACTTCTCATATGTCTTTGTGTTGTTGTTGAATCACTCCTATACTCTGGCCTGCAAGAGTTTACTTGTGAAAAGCACTGGTACAAATGCTTGTATAACTTTACAAGTTAGGGCCATGTAGCCTAGCTAATATGTAGCATATCATAAATATAACATCAGAAAGTATTGATCAAGCGCACACAGGCAGCTGTGTTTGGATCCAGTTTTTACGGTAAAGGATGTATCCTGGTTTCATTGATCTGGCCTCATGGCTGTGATGTGTAGTTTACGTGGATTTAATAGTAGGCTACTGCGTAGTTTAGCAAAGTGATCGATCTCCCAGCTAACGCTGTCTGCGTAGTATTTTGTAACGTAACGCCCGAAACAGCGCCCGTCTGTTAAACGCTATCGATTCAAACTAAAGCGTTTTATTAATATTTAGTTTCAAGCTCTCGTTTTTAGTAAAAACAAAACTAGTGGAAAGGGAAATGCTCCAAGGGGAAGCTGATCCATAGGTGCTGGGACAGCTCGCTCCCTCTCTGCAGCGGTGTGAGCCGCGGGCTGTGTGAATGCCGCTCCGCAGTTTAATGCAGGGCCGTAGCTGCGTTTTTAACGGGCCTAAAATGATATTTAAAATGATTCACTTTTAACTAATGTAATGCTTGTTTTGTTGCTTGAGAAGCTTGTGGAAATAGTGTAGGTTTGTTTTAGTACAGTTTTAGGGAAACAAAAAAGTTAGGGGGGCAGCTGGGGGGCAAGGCTCCATTCAGAGTAATTATTGATATGTTCTGAGATATCTGTCGATATTATGTTTTTGTTAATGTTTTAATATTGATATACATCTTTAATTCGGGTCAAAGTTTAACCGTTGGTCAGTTAAAGGTTATTGAGTCCAGCTAAAGTTTATTAGCAGCCTCTTTACTGTGTCAGATTACTTTGATAATATTTTCATTTTACACTTATATTGTTACTGAGACCGGGCTTTCCTATGTCTCCAGACCCCGAAGTGTTTTTTAAGCTTTTTAACCATCTTTGATTCCTCGTAGCCGTCAGTGTTTCTTCGTTGGAGTTTAACGGTTAGCCGTTAGCCCGCCGCCATCTTTAAAACAGAGGCTGTTCTGTTAAGAACTAAAAATAAAAATAAATAAACTAACCAAAAGTATATTAAGGACTTAAAACATCTAGAGCAGTTAACGGCAATAAATGCAGTAGTCCTATTAATTCAGACACAGTAGGGAACAATTCAATGCAAAGTTAACACTTAGATACCCACTTTAAGAGAGGTTTTGAATACAGGATGTTTACTTGTATTGTGTTATTTTCACACTGGTATTATTATTTTTCCTTCAATAACTTTGTTTTTCTTTATTTTAGCTGCATGTCTATTTCTATTGTTTTTCTATGTGTTTTTGGACATGTGTGAGAGCAACTGAAAGAAATCCCTGTATGTCAGCTAGGGTGCATCAAATTGCAATGCAAAAATTAAATCTCAACATATCAAACTGTCTGGGGTTGCATTTTGTTCGGACACACATAGAAATAACTTTTGCAAAGTTTTGGGAAAATTCATTGAGATTTAGAGGTGGAACACAGCATGTGAAAAATATGAAAATTGGCCGTTTTGGTGTTTTCTTAGGCAATTTCTGAAAATGCAAGAATTTTTTTTTTGAGAACAACATTTATTTATTTAAAAACAAAAAGAACAACATTGAAATTGAGTCCTGGTCCAGCTTGCGCTTGCAGTGGCGCAGATTTGGCTGTTTAGAGCGGGCATGCACATTCTGCAGGTGCTCCTCGCTGCTGCCACAAAGTCTGAGGTGAGTTTGACGCCACGCTCGGCACAGTCATTCACAACATTGATGGCACGTACATCAGTGTTGTCCAGATGATAAGGCTCGTTATTAAACAAAGGGAGGAGCTGCAGACAGGTGAGGGTGTTAAAGTCCAACTATCAAGTCAGAGTGCCAGACTCCATTTTACACCTGGACAGAGCAGGAGGAAGAAAGCAGGGTGAGTGTTAACACCAGAGTCTGCTGGGTTTTTCTGACATTAATAATTTGCTCTGTTAAATTGTATGATTATAGATTTAGTTCCTGAAGTCCAAGGTGATATCCCCCAATGTTGTGAACTTTGTTAATTTCCTTGTTTCTGAGCCATCATAGCAACAGCCCAGCGCGGCCAAAATGGAGAGCGGCTTGTCTGAAGTCTGACGGATTTGTAGAATTTAAACCAAAGTTTGTCATGATGATGGTTTAGATTAACATAATGTAATTGTGTTTTTATAATGTGTATGTTATGTGTTTCTGCAGTGTTACTGGTTTACCTCTCAGACTGGAGAAGATGAGTGATTTAAAAGACGAGGAAGAGGACACATCCTCAGTCCCCAGCTGTCTGTCTCTGAAGAGTGACCGGTCTAGAAACTCTCCTCCACTCTTCAGTGATGCACCTGGACCCTCAGACACAAAGTAAGAGTCTGTTTCTACTGTAACCTTAAGGGGATTCAGTTTTTATATAATCTAATTTTTTTTTAATGACCGCAGTAAATGGTCATGGTAGAGTGCAGTAAAAACTTTAAATTGAACTCTTGCTCCTTGGCATCTTCAGCATTAGTAAATGATCTACTGGTGAAATCATCCTCACACTCTACATGTTGGACTTTGTGTTAAATCAAGCTAATAAAATACAAACATGTAAAATGTTCCACTCTCAAATGAATTATAACAGCAGGACTGAAAGTTCAAAACAAGTACAACAATCTGGAACCGGGTAAACAGACAGAAGTAAAAACTGCTCTTTGCAAGAACTAATGATGTTTAAAACATGTGTTGTTTCCACAGACAGAGAGCAGGGTCTCCAGCCCCCAGCTGTCTGTCTCTGAAGAGTGACCGGTCTAGAGGGCAACCTATATACTTCAGTGATGAACCTGGACCCTCAGACACAAAGTAAGAGTCTGTTTCTACTGTGAACTGACCTGAAGAGGATTCAGTTGTATATCATCTGATAATCTGAATTGTTCTTTAATAATATATATATATATATATATATTTATATTTGATTGATTGATATGTACTATATATATTTTCTTTAAAAAATGTGTTGACTACCTAAGCATCTTTTTAGATGTATTTTAAAGATGTGTATTAATAATAGTGATAACCTGGTGAGCTGGTTGTGTTTAGCATTAGCAGATATAACTACGGTGGCCCTGAAGTACAAGACACCACAGCATTTCAGCAAACACAACACTACAGCATTTCCAACCCAGTCTCACATCTAAACGTGTAAAAACTACGTTGGTCCACAACGTAGGACGTAGTATTTCTACAAAAACACCTCTGAAATTGTAAGATCCCTACGTTTTTTTTCACCATTCATTCCAATGGCTGGCGTCTATGTCACGTGATCTTCAAATTTCTCCCTGCAGAAAAAAATAAACATGGCCGACATTCGTTTTATTCTCGGTGTAAAATGCCTATTTTAAGGTTCGTTTGGCCATTAAAATGCGTTTTGATGTCATTTGATGCGAGAAATATGAGTTGTTATTTCAGATTATGTGTGCAGTGGATGTACATGATCTTTAGTTTGCTAGTTATTACGAAGATTACTTCAGGAAATTGTGTCCATTCAACGTTTTCATTGTTACCAAGGTGGTTGCTAGGGACGCTGCTATCGATATTATTTCTGTTATGTTGTGTAACTGTTTAATGGTGTTATCTTTATTGCTACCCCCTTCCCCGTCAATGTATAGTGTTGATCCACAGCGCAAACATATTAGTTTAACAAAATCCGCATCTAAAATTGTGGCATAGATACGTTATTTTCCCCTGTGCAATTCTCCAACCCAGTCTCACATCTCACATCACATCAAATAAACAAATACCGGAAACAGACGTAGGCAATATCCTCAGCTCGGTGATTGGATGGTTAAGCCGCAATGCACGTTGGGAAACAATACGTTCTCACTCCCAACCCGTCACACGTTGACGGACGTTCGGGGCCCCTCCCCGTCACTCTCACAGGGTACCCCTTGAGAGTCAGTTTTCAACGGGCAGGGCGTCCCATAGACCTTCATAGACCTCCCATAGCGTTGATAATAGACGCCATGAGAACGCTCCCCGACGGTCGGTTGTTATTGTCAATATTAATATAATAATTATTTATTTTTTAATAGTCACACTCGATTTCGCCGATTTTCTTGTTGCCCCAGCTGGTCGACACCTCTTTGAGCAGAAACAAAGGCTACATTAATGTATTAAATCGCCAGGCAACGCAATAATTTACAAACTCTTCAACTACAACCCTAATTATATTTTAAAACATTTTAGAAGGCCTCACGAAATACTTTAATGCACATTTAAATTTAAATGTGAAGGGATGTGTGTAATGTGGTGATTGACATTATTCACCCACGGAACTATGGGTTGGGGTATTGTTCCGCACGGACATTTTAGTTAACCGGACTTCCTGTTGATGTGAAATCCGATTATTTATTTTTTTAAATAACATAATACTTTATTCCGAGTGTGCTTGCTTTTCTCTTTGGAGGTCATCACATAACGGCATTGTAATACACGGTTCGGCTGCATTAAATATTACATATCTGCCGTAGTTCTCTATTTATAGAGCCCTGCTGAGAAGACTTCTAGACAAACAGGAGAACTGCCGCCAAAACTGAATATGTGACGTGGATCATAAATATATCAGCAATTAAACAAAATCTTCAATTTCTCTTCACAATATAAGTCTCCTTGCAGTATCAATACTAATTCGGCTGACTTTTATATTTGATCCAATTGGTAGATAGGCTGTATTTACACCATAACGGTGCACAGCTGATAGAAAGGGACACCTGGTGGTTAAAGCACGTTATTGAAATGTATTATTTGTATTATTAGATATTAATAGGAGACACAGACAGACAAACTAATAAGGCTTTATTTAAACATTAAAGAATACTTTAGGTTAAGGTCTTCTTTTGAATAAGAAAAAAGCTTTGGGGATATACATATTAAGCCTGACAAAGTACTAATATATTGCTTTCCTGCAATTTTAACTACTGTATGTTTAAGCACTTATTTTAACTGATATTATATGTATTATACTCTTATAAGATGTATGTAGATAGTATAAGAAATGTGCAGAATATGACAGTGTAATGGTAGAGGTATACACACATATTGATAGATGTCTTGTAATGCACTGTTGAGGAACCTGCGACCCAGGTTTTTCATCTCCGGCCTTGTCAGGTATTGAACAATCAATAAATAAAGAACACAGAATTATTAAATATAAAACACAGAATTTGTGTGATTATACTAAATGATTTACAAATAAACACCACTGCATATTTAACTGTTACACATGCTGATGTAACGCAAATGTTTCCAACTTGGGATCAATAAAGTATATCTTATCTTAAGATGATCGATGGCTACTGCCAGATTTGCAAAATGTGCCTCTGAACCTTGACAAGTGCATGTTTCAGGCTCATCAATGAACAACAGGACGGGTCACAGACATAAGACCAGCTGTTAAATAAAGCTCTTCTGACCTTAGCTGGCATGTGGGTAATGCTACCCATTATGGGCACAAGCAATTTTCACCCATTTATTAATTATATGTTTTAAATGTGAGTGTTTCCTATCCCCTAAACCTCCGGGGAAGTACACAGTTTAATACTGGCGACTTCTTATTATGGGAAATACGAAAACGTCTTTTAAAACTACAATTCCCAGTAGAGACGTGCCATAGATAGAGAACATGTTGCGAAACACAATAGCCAGCATGTGTAGTTCTGGGGACGGGGTGGGGGAGGGAAGGGGGGGACGGGGTGGACCCGTTCAAATCCAGTTTTGGACAGTCTGCCGTGGTTTCATCCCATTTCAAGTGCTGTTCGACGCTCGGCATAACCCTCGGCGCACACTCAAACATCCAATCACAGAGCTTTAGGACTATCACGGGGTTTGTCAATCGAAGCGGAGAGAATACTTACTTCCGGGTGTAAAATTCTCTAAAGCAACTGAGCTGCTCCGACCCTCGGTCCTGACGGACTCCAACTTGTGTTTATTAATCAAACAAATAAATAAACACAAGGATAATTATGTGTTATTGTTGAGTAAATAACAGTGTGTGGTTTAGAAAAGAATACAAAATTAGAAGGAAAAAACTATGAAACAATACAGATTTCAGTTTTCTGAGCCCCTACTCTCCCCATAACTGATGGCAACAAAAGTCCTGCATTATTCAATTAAAATAAAGAAGTAAAAACAATAAGTGTGGCTTGATATTGAGTAAGAAAAAGGTTGATAAACGCAGTGAGAATGGATCTGCAGAGAGCATTTCCCCGCGATCTCAACTCGTCTATTACCAACGTTCAGGCAGCTCTATGCAAGTCAATGGGACGCCCTGCCCGTTGAAAACTGACTCTCAAGGGGTACCCTGTGCGTAATAGAGTGACGGGGAGGGGCCTTGACCGACCGTCAACATGTGACGGTTGGGAGTCAGAACGTGTTGTGGGAAATTGTGTTTATAAGATGTGAAATCCGAAAACATTTAAAAATAAAATAATACTTTATTCCGAGTGTGCTTGCTTTTCTCTTTGAAAGTCATCACATAACGGCATTGTAATACACGGTTCGGCTGCATTAAATATTACATATCTGCCGTAGTTCTGTATTTATAGAGCCCTGATGAGAAGACTTCTAGACAAACATGAGGAACTGAAAACGTGACGTGGATCATAAATATATCAGCCATTAAACAACATCTTACATTTCTTTTCACACAATACGTCTCCTTGCAGTATCAACACTAATTCGGCTGACTTTTATATTTGATCCAATTGGTAGATAGGCTGTATTTACACCATAAAGGTGCACACCTGATATAAAGGGACACCTAGTGGTTAAAGCATGTTATTGAATTTCATTATTTTTATTATTAGATATTAATAGGATCCCTATAAAGTATATTCATTACTCATTATTCTCTACTAATAGTTCATTAAAGACTGTATATAATTACTATTTTGCACATCCCTTTCAAGATTTCAAGATTTTCTAAGGTTTATTGACATATCATATTCACAACTACGGTGTAGTTATGCAATGAATGAACAACTTGGGTCGCAGGTTCCTCAATAGTGCATTACAAGACATCTATCAATATGTGTGTATACCTCCAGCAATGTTAACTATGTTGAAGCACTTATTTTAACTGATATTATACATATGTATTATACTCTTATGTATGTAGATAGTATAAGAAATGTGCAGAATATGACAGTTTCATGGTGAAGGTATACATATATTTTCGGATTTCACATCGCATAAACACCATATCCCAACATGCATTGCGGCTAAAACATCCAATCAGCGAGCTGAGGATCTTTCCTACGTCTGTTTCCGGTATTGTTCCTGTAATGAGAGTTCACATTTATGCTACATTGAAGGGTGGAATTGACTACACATCTTCAGAAACATAATTTGCTTCAGATATAACTCATAGCAATATTGTAACCATTAAGAAAAGCCAACTGCATTAAAAACCCAGTTAACAAACACTAGGTAAAGTATTTTTTCCTTCAGTAATGAAGATGTAATTCCAATGTAGACACACCTGGGGTCGCTGTTCTGTCTGTTACGCTGAGCCGTGCATTGTCTGGAACGTAAAAGGGATGAAGAAGACAAAGTGAAGTGACGCACTTCCGGTTCAACATGAACACATTCCCAGTTAAACATGCAAAAACAAATCGCTAAATAAAAAGATAAAACACTGGCAAGTAATTTACGTTAGAATAAATACAATGATTTTGAAAAATAGATCACGTCACTTTACAGCTCCGCCCACTTTTGGGGAAACCCAAAGTAATTTGAACGGCGATCAAGCCTGAAGCCACAGAGCTCTTATTTTACTGTCCTTTCTTCTTAGAGGAAGTTCAGAAACACATAACTCTGGATTTGTTTTAATGTTTGAGGTGCAATAAACGACAAAGCAGCTTTTTGGCTGTTAAACTATTATTTTCTGCCTCGCTCATGAGAGTAACAGCTGGCGAAATTACAGCCTCGCCTACTGATTTTAATTTAACCATATATCGAGCCCGATTCTCGATTTCAAAGGTGTGTTCGAAAATGATATTTATAAATGACTATTATCATTATTATAAGCAAGACAATACATGGCAAAGATATGTAGAAAAGAAACGTATTTAAGAAACGTTCATAAGAAACGTGACGTGGGAGTATCATATCTCAATGGGAATGGTTAGCGTATCATATGCACGCAAAATCGGACTTCTGCGTATCTATTGCACGCATTTCCAATGTGTAAAGTCGTGTCATTTGTACGCAGACTGAAGAGAGTGGGTGGGATTTATCAGAAGAGGGAACATCAGCACCCAGAGCTCTACAGCACCTCATATTAATGTCTGTGTATAAACCAGAGACTGTCTGTGGTGCTAACAATATAATAGCTGCTGTTCTGATGACTGGATGGAGTTATTTTGGAGAATTTGCCCCCTTGTTGTACCTTTGGTGAGAATCAGCTCCACTAATGTAAAGTGCTGTAAAGGATGTGTTCATCTCCACAGAGGGAAGAGGAAGAGTCCTGTTCCTGTGGAGGAGCAGCTGTCCAGCTGTGCTCTGTGTCAGGATGTCCTGGTGGATCCAGTCTCTACCAGCTGTGGACACTGGTTCTGCAGACAGTGCATCACCTCATACTGGGAGCAGAGACCTCCATCAGGAGACTCCTCCTGTCCTCAGTGTGGAAAAAGATCCAGAACCAGAGCTGGCCTGCAGACAGCCAGTCAGACCAGCTCTGTACGAGGTAAGTCTGAAATCAGGATTGTTCCTGGTTAATTTGTTCCAGCAAAGACATTCATTTCGAAACCTTTATATATTTAATTTGGTTTATCGTTATCAAAATAATTTTCCTGATTCTCTCATGTTTCCTTCTCTTCCAGCAGAACGTGGTCTGCAGGAGGTTTTAGATGAACATAGGCTCAGTCTGAGGAGGAGATGTGAACATGTGACTGAAGGAACTGATCAAAGGGAAACCCTCCTCAACAGGATCTTCACTGAGCTCTACATCACACAAGGCCTCAGTGAAGAGGTTAATACCCAGCATGAGGTGAGGCAGCTGGAGACAGCTTCCAAGAAGAAGACCCTCCATGACACTCCAATCAAGTGCCAGGACATCTTTAAAGCCTCACCTGACCAACAGACTCCCATCAGAGCGGTCCTGACCAACGGAGTCGCTGGAGTTGGAAAAACCTTCTCAGTGCAGAAGTTCACTCTGGACTGGGCCGAGGGTTTGGGGAACCAAGATGTCAGTCTGGTGATCCCGCTCTCCTTCAGGGAGCTGAACCTGATCAAAGGTGAGCAGTACAGTCTTCTCAGGCTGCTCCATGTTTTCCATCCAACCTTACAGAAGGTCACAGCAGAGCAGATGGCTGTCTGCAAAGTGCTGCTCATCTTTGACGGCCTGGATGAGAGCAGACTTTCTCTGGACTTCAGAAACAGTGAGGTTGTGTCTGATGTCTCTCAGCAGTCCTCAGTCAACGTGCTGCTGACAAACCTCATCAGGGGGAAGCTGCTTCCCTCGGCTCTCGTCTGGATAACTTCCAGACCTGCAGCGGCCAATCAGATCCCTCCTGAGTGTCTGGACAGGGTGACAGAAGTACGAGGCTTCACTGACGCCCAGAAGGAGGAGTACTTCAGGAGGAGATCGAGTGATGAAGACCTGTCCAGCAGAATCATCTCTCACATCAAGAGCTCCAGGAGCCTCCACATCATGTGTCTGATCCCAGTCTTCTGCTGGATCACTGCTGCAGTTCTGGACCACATGTTGACTACAGACCAGAGAGGAGAGCTGCCCCAGACCCTCACTGACATGTACTCACACTTCCTGCTGGTCCAGACCAAGAGGAAGAAGCAGAAGTATGAAGAGGGACATGAGACGAGTCCACAGCAGCTGACGGAGGCTGACAGGGAGCTTCTTCTGAAGCTGGGGAGGCTGGCGTTTGAACATCTGGAGAAAGGAGACATCATGTTCTACCAAGAAGACCTGCAGCGCTGTGGTCTTGGTGTCACCGAGGCCTTGGTGCACTCAGGAGTTTGCACAGAGATCTTCAAAAGAGAGAGTGTGATCTTCCAGAAAACAGTCTACTGCTTTGTTCATCTGAGCATTCAGGAGTTCCTGGCTGCAGTCTACATGTTGCACTGTTACACCAACAGAGACACAGAGGTACTGAAGGACTTCCTGCAGAGAGGCTATAGCAACAGGTATAACAGAGATCAGGATTACCCATCCCTGGATGTCTTCCTTAAAGGAGCCATGAAGAAATCCCTCTGTAGTGAAAATGGCCACCTGGACCTGTTTGTCCGCTTCCTCCACGGCCTCTCTCTGGAGTCCAACCAGAGACTGTTAGGAGGCCTGCTGGGTCGCTCAGACAACAGACCAGAAACCATCCAGAGAGCCATCAGCAACCTGAAGGAGATGAGCAGTTATTATATTTATCCCGACAGGATGATCAACATCTTCCACTGTCTGACAGAGATGAAGGACCACTCAGTACATCATGAGATCACAGAGTTCCTGAAGTCAGAGAACAGATCAGAGAAAGAACTCTCTGAGATCCACTGCTCTGCTCTGGCCTACATGCTGCAGATGTCAGAGGAGGTTTTGGATGAGTTGGACCTGAAGAAGTACAAAACATCAGCTGAGGGACGACGGAGACTGCTTCCAGCTGTGAGGAACTGCAGGAAGGCCAAGTGAGTCCAGATGTGATTAACTTTATTAATTAATCTGGATCAGAAGTTTAATCCAATGAACACTATAACATGTTTGATGTTTTAAATACTTTGAGAGCAAATTGAAATGATCACATTTATTCTATTTATTTGTAATATTGTGACATTTAAAAAAAGGTTCTTCTCTTCATATTCCTTTGAGTGATGGAGACGACATGTCAAACAAACGAAGGACTTTAGAGATTTTCTCACAGCAGCATGTGATCACACCATACAGCAGTATTTACAGTTATCAGTGAATGCAGTTATTAATATATCATTGCAGTTTCTTCAACATTAAATCAGATCTGTTTTTACCACAATGCTTAAATATCCCATGTCATGCTTTCCCGGTTATTACCCGTCCCCTCGTGTGTTATGAAGGTTTTTCTGCATGTAACCGGGCTGCAGAGTCACAAACCCTCAAAGTACACCCTGTAGGGAGTAAAACTCTAACACAGAGAAGAACTGTCTGTGCTGCCCCAGAACGCCTCGTTGGAGATACGTCATTGTCCATTGTTTACTTCCTGGGTACTGTGACGTAGGAATGGCCAGTAGCCGCGCCCAGAACTATGACGCGATACGGTCATGCGGTACCTGGAACCAAATGGACCAATCCGTGGAGCCGTTATGTTACGTCCGCGGAGCCGTTACGTTAAGCCCCCGCTGATTGGTCCAAATTGACCAATCCACGGACTTCCTCACACACTCAGTGCATGCAGCTCTGCTGATCTCTCCTCCCTGCCTGCAGGCTGATAACAGACAGTTGGGATCGCTGCGAAATTCTCTCTGCAGACCCATTCTCTCTGCAGACCCATTCTCACAGCGTTTATCAACCTTTTTCTTACTCAATATCAAGCCACACTTATTGTTTTTACTTCGGCTGTGACTTTGTGTGTGCTCAGGGTGAGTTTGGCTGTGTTTCGCTGTGTATCGCTAAACAAGGAAACCACACCTCCACGGAGCTCAGCGCGATTCACAACGTCCCGACCAATCAGAGCACACTGTGCTCACAGGGAGGGTGGGAGCTGGAGCTATTGGAGCTACAACGAGCCGTTAAAGGCAGAGAGTGAAATTCAGTGAATACACGTAGTTTACAGAGATGCTGAGAAACCAATGTGAGTTTGGAACATTGAACAATATAAATATATTCTAGTAGACCTCAACAATGGAATTATGATCAGTAGAAATGGCCATGACATGGGACCTTTAAGAGTTTAAAATAATGTCAGTGTGAAGCTGACCGTTGAGCGGCCCAGACCAAGCAAGGAGGCAGAGGCAGAACGTCCAAAATACAACCCGATGTGGCATTTATTACTCACGGGCACATGACACAGCCTCAATCTCGCTGTTCAAGTGAGCACAGTCACCAGCTACAAGGATCTCACACACCCCACAAAACAGGAAACACAGAGCCTAAATACCCACACTAATTAACCCAACAAGACACAGGTGAGGGGGGAGGAGACAACACAGGGCACCAGGTGCACACAATCAACAGCGACAGACATGGGGAAAGGGAACACTTTTCAAAATAAAACACGTGCAATATACAAAGCCCGAAGCCGTCAGTCCAGTGAAGAAGCCATCTTCGTCACAGTCTGACAGGTTGACAATAAATATAGAAAACTCTGTTATTGTCAAAAGTTGTTCCATCAAATTCAGTTAATATAATGCTTGCTCTGTTTTTAAACTAACACCTGTTGTAATATATGTGTTATTTTTAAAGGGCCCATGTCCTGCTTTTCTGGTTATCACCCGTCCCCTTGTGTGTTATGAAGGTTTTTTTGTATGTAAACGGTCTGCAGAGTCAAAACCCTCAAAGTACTGTAGCGAGTAAAACTCTAACACAGAAAATACCTGTCTGTGCTGCCCCAGAACGTCTCGTTGGAGAATCCGCGGAGCCGTTACATTACGTCCGCGGATTGGTTCAAATGGACCAATCCGCGGACTTCCTCACACACACACTCAATATTTTTCTCAGCTGCAGCTCCGCGGATTTCTCAGCCTGAGACGGTGGGACGCAGCCTGGTTGTGAGTCAGTGTGTGAGCACACACACAGACTCACAGCCAGGCTGCGGGTGTGTGTGTGTGCTCGGGCTGTGTCTCGCTGTCTCGCAGACCCCACGCAGCAAGCAGGAAATGACACCAGTAAGCCAGCTCACACTGTCCGCTCCTCGCAGCAGTGAGCCTCACAACGTCTCGCCAACACGGCACCCAGACCCCACGCAGCATCTCATCTGTTTGTCATTTCCTGGTTGCTAACAAACATTACATTACATTACATTTAGCTGACGCTTTTATCCAAAGCGACTTACAATAAGTGCGTTCGACCAACAAAATACAAACTTGAAGAAAACAGAATCATAAAGTACATCAGGTTTCATAGAGCAAAAATATTTCAAGTGCTACTCAACTGGCTTTAGATAAGCCAGTCCTTTATTAGTATATAAGTGCTTTGTTAATAGTTCTATCGCTCGAAGTGGAGTCGAAAGAGATGAGTTTTCAGTCTGGAAGGTGTGTAAGCTATCTGCTGTCCTGATGTCAATGGGGAGCTCATTCCACCATCCTGGAGCCAGGACAGCAAACCCACGTGTTTTTGCTGATGGGAACTTGGGTCCCCTTCGCAGCGAGGGTGCAGCGAGCCGTTTGGTTGATGCAGAGCAGAGTGCACGTGCTGGGGTGTACGGTTTAACCATGTCCTGGATGTAGGAAGGGCCAGATCCATTCGCAGCATGGTAAGCAAGTACCAGTGTCTTGAAGTGGATTCTAGCAGTTACCGGAAGCCAGTGACACCATTGTAACACATAATCACTGATGTTCCGCTGTAACGGTGATGGACCAATCAGATCACAGTGGGCTCATAGGGGGGGGGGACAGGAGCTCCATCAAGCCGTGTAGGACAGAGAGTGAACACACATACTATACAGAGATGCTGTATGAGAAACCCATGTGAGTTTGGAACATTGCACAATATAAATCTATTCTAGTAGACCTCAACAATGGAATCATGATCAGTAGAAATGGCCATGACATGGGACCTTTAATATATCATTGCAGTTTCTTCAACATTAAATCAGATCTGTTTTTACCACAATGCTTAAGAGTTTAAAAATAATGTCTGACAGGCTGACAATGAATATAGAAAACTCTATTATTAAATTAAACTGACATGACATGTTAAAAGTTGTTCCATCAAATTCAGTATTTTAATGACATGTGTCCTCTGTTTTTATACTAACACATGTTGTGATATATGTGTCACTTATATGTGTCGTAGACTTTCTAACTGTGGACTCTCAGAGACTGGATGTGAAGTCGTGGCCTCAGCTCTGAAGTCTGACCCCTCCCACCTGAGAGATCTGGACCTGAGTGAGAACCCTCTGAAGGATTCAGGAGTGGAGCTGCTGAGTTCTGGACTGAAGAGTCCAAACTGCAGACTGGAGGCTCTCAGGTCAGTTCACTGACTGCAGTTCATACAGATCTGTTTGTGTTTATGATCTTCAGAATTTGCCTGAAGACATTTGAATGGTTTTACTTTTTTTCTGTATTTCAAATGGAAATGGAATCCAAACTTTAAGAATAATAAAGAGAAGGTGAATGTGTGAGGGAGAGTGTTTGAGCTTCCACAGACTCACCCTGTGCTCCATGAGTCAGTGGAGATGCTGTCAGTACTGATGAGCTGTGAGGGAGATGAAGGAGTTGATAAACATCTGATCAAAGTTAAAGTTCCAGATTATCAGGGATTTGTTTTCTGCATAATCTCTGACATTAAAACGCTGTTTAACTCTAATCACATTATTAAACCTGGAGTTATTTCAAACAGGAACATTGTTTTCTAAAGTTACATCATGTTTTCTTTATTCAGACTGAGGTACTGCAGTTTGTCAGAGATCAGCTGTTCTGCTCTGGCCTCAGCTCTGAAGTCCAACCCCTCCCATCTGAGAGTTCTGGACCTGAGTGAGAACAGGCTGAAGGATTCAGGAGTGAAGCTGCTGAGAGATCTTCTGGAGAGTCCAGACTGCAGACTGGAGACTCTCAGGTCAGTTAAGGCCCTGACACACCAAGCAGTCACCAGAAAACTCGCCGACGCCGACTGTTGCGTCGCCGTGTTCTCCTGCGTCTTGGCCATGTGTCGCACTGGAACACACCGCAAAGACTTCAGCCGAGCACGTACGAACTGCGCATGCGTGAGTGGCAATAACTCTCCTTACCAGCAGGCGGTGGTAGTGTGTATTCGTCATTCAAAAGAGGCAACAACCGGAAGACAGAGAAGAAGAACAGACTACGTGATATAAACAAACAACAAATAGCGTGTGCGTTTCATTTTCACTCTCGTCCATCGAAAACATGTTTCGTGCGGTACTGGAGCTATCAGCCATTGGAGAGTTGCTTCTGGAAGACATTCTCAAGCAACCGTTTCACTTCTCATGCACTGATTCGCTAGCTGAACAGCCAATCAGAGTGATTTCTTTGTCCGACTGCCTGTGGCCGATGCACGGCCGATTCAACATGTTGAATCGGCCGTGCGTCGGCCATGAAAGGCCAAATAAGGCGTGTCACGGCCGACGGTGCGGGACACACCAAATTGAGTTTGGGCGACAGGGCACGCTTCGTCGTCCGACTAACGAAAATGGCCGATTCCGGCCTGGTGTGTCCGGGCCTTAAAGGCCCTGTCACACTGTCCCGAAATTGACACCCGATGGACACACGATAAAGGAAATGTTCAAATTCGGCGGTGATCGTAGCAACATCGGGCCATTCGTGAGGGCATCTTAAGCCATCGTATGACCGCCGGTGGAGTTTCTCAGGCTCCGGCAGCAACTTCGTGAGCGGCAACTTCGTAAGGCACTCGTGAGGGCATCTTGTCAAATCGTGTCATCTTCGTGTTATCATCGGTGCATTCGCCCTCACTCTGATCGTGGCGAATGCCCGATGGCACCGATGATAACAAGATGCCCTCACGATGGCCTTACGAAGGGCAACATTTACACACGAATTCAACACGAAAATGAACCTTCGCAACGTCCTTCGGCAATTTTTTGGCATGCCAAAGATTTTGCCACCGCTCACGAAGTTGCTGCCGGAGCCTGAGAAACTCCACCGGCGGTCATACGAAGGCTTAAGATGCCCTCACGAATGGCCCGATGTTGCTACGATCACAGCCGAATTTGAACATTTCCTTTATCGTGTGTCCATCGGGTTGTTTTATTGCACAACAAAATCATGTAAATATATTATGTAAATAACCCAATTTGTGTTCTGTGAAACTAAAAAGGATATAATATAGTATTTTGAAGGACAGTTGACAGGAAGTTGTTGTTGTTATGGAAACAACATTACGGAGAAAACGTAATATTTTCTACATATAAAGACGGATAAAGTAAAGAACAAAGTCTGAAGATATCAGTACAGTATCATAGTACTGTAACATAATTGTTTTTGGTACTTTCATTGCAGTTGTATGTCTTAAATGTAATGTAAATGTTGCCTTCGTGTGTGGTTCGGGGCCATCTTCGTGCGAAATTCACAATTCCATATTCGTGTGTCCATCGGGTGTCAATTTCGGGACAGTGTGACAGGGCCTTAAGGGGTCTCTGCTGGTTCAGCAGTATTGTATGAAACACAGGGAGGTGCAAAGCCACATTTAGTTAGTTAGCAACTTTCTAACAGACATATAGGATTTTACAGAAGAGTGGAAAAGGTCTGTTTTGTTTCCTGTCATGCTTTTAGTGTCTAGACTAACGAGCAGTTACTTCCTGTAATGCAGCTGAGAGCTTTGGCAGTCGTAGTGTTTGCAGAGAAGATATGATGTAAAGCATGAGATCAGGACTCTGAAGCTGACTCAAAGAACAAACACTTATTTTAAACTGGATCTAAAACTGTTGGATTGTGTTCATCCCTACAGGATCAATGGTGAGACGATCAGAGCCAAGATCCAGAAGACCTGTGAGTACTGAAACCATGTCCTCCATTCATCAAGACATTGTACATTAAATCTGATCTTAAAAGGTCTTTATAGCACAACAACAATATATTTTAGTTCCATTTTGTTACAGCTCTATTCAATAATTTTGGCTGCTAATGTTTCTCTTTGTTAAAGTTGTATTATTATTGTTTGTTTTTTTCTGTCACTTCTTCTCTCCAATGTGACAAATCTGCGAGCTCAGGTTTTATTTGGTTTTTTAATACGGGGCGTGTTTGAGACGTAAAGAGGAGTGTGAATGTATTTTGATAAATAATCAAGATGGCTGATGAGGAACTTCCTATCTCAACATGAATAAAAAGACTCAATAGCGTAAAGCTTTTCTGAAGAAGAAAGATCTGTTACCATAATTCTGCAGAAACTACTTTATCAAGTCTTATCAGATTCAGGATCCAGGTTATTGGCAATTAGGTTTTGGCACATGCGAGGAATTTGATTTGCTGCAAAGAGAAGAAACATGAATATAGAAGAGAAAAATACATCTTAAAAATGAAGGAATATATTTCATTACATATCAGTTCACCTGCTGTGATGTGCAGTTATAGGCTGGTGCTACTGTGCTGTGATTGGCTGTTACTGTGATTAACTGGAAATACTGTGCTGTGATTGGCTGGTTCTGCTTTGACCGGGTTACAGGGTCGCTCAGCACTACGTCGCATGTTAACAGGTTAATAATCCGTTGGAAATCAACAATGAACTGACAGGATTGATTATATGATTTGGTCTTACCCTGACGTTCCCATGCTCTGGGATTGTAGTTTGTGTTCATAAATAATATCCCCAAAGAGTAGGGTCTCCAGCACATAGAAACTGCCGGATGCTAACCTGCAGATGTTGGAGCATTTGCACAGTTAGCATAAGTTGAGTTAATTAGTTAGCATATGCAGATCATAGTTAAAAAATGGCTTGGCCATATCTTACAATTTGGTTTTGGCAGTTTTAACCAGAAAGCGGCCATATTTGTACTGAGTGCTGATTTGGATGCATTTTGGGTCGATTTAAACGTTTTAGGGGACTCCGAAGGGCCATTTTGGAGCCCAAACATTTCAGAAATGGATTCGCAAGGATTAGCTATTGTCTACATATGCTAATTGTTAGTGAACATTATGCTAATTGTTAGTGAACATTATGCTAAGTGATTAGTGAACATTATGCTAATTGATTAGTGAACATTATGCTAATTGATTAGTGGCCATTATGCTAATTGTTAGTGAACATTATGCTAATTGATTAGTGAACATTATGCTAATTGCTAGTGACCATTATGCTAATTGTTAGTGAACATTATGCTAATTGATTAGTGAACATTATGCTAATTGATTAGTGAACATTATGCTAATTGATTAGTGAACATTATGCTAATCGTGCAAATTGCCAAACATATGCAAGTTAGCATCTGGCCGTTTCTGTGTTGGGAACCGGTACTATACATTCATATCATACAACTTTAGGGTACTCAACATTTCAGGGTTCACTAAACTGGTAGCTAGACTATGAGCTAGAGTTGAACTTGATTTGTATAAAAATATCTAACTTTGTGTCTATCATAGCTCCAGGCTCCAGTTTCCTTCTCACCTGAACACACTCTGAATCTTCATACAGGTAATCCTATAACCTGCTCCTTCTACTTTTTTTAAAAAGTATTTGTATAATCATCTTTATTTAATGTCATGCTTTTCAAGACGTCTTTTGTAAGATGGTGTACAGCAGTGATTCTCAACCTTTTCTAGTCTCAACCCCTCAGAACAATCCGGTCCGTGACCTTTCCCCCCATTCCTTTTTATCCTCCAGGTCCAGGAGGGAAATGTTCCAAAGAAAGGTGGCATTTTCCAGTGAAAACAGAGCATATTCCAAACAGAGAACAGCGAACGCATTACTGGACGACAGACTACTGAGACCAGGGGCGGACTGGCCATTGGGAATACCGGGAATGTTCCCGGTGGGCCAGTGCTGTGCGTGGGCCGGAGGGCCAAAACAAAACAAAATCATTTAAAAATAATCATTTTTTTTTTTTTCAATTTTTTTCTTTGCCTAAATCCTACCGGCCCACATTTGTAAGTGTTCCGGCCACTCCCTGGAGGGGTGGGCTGGGCCATTTTGATAGGCTACCTATGTTCTATCTATCACGGCCGTCCACACAGCAGCTTTAGACGATTCTTCCACCGCTTCCAACGCTTCTCTGCCCATTGACTTTGAATGGGGATGACGTCCCTTTTCCTCGCTTGTCGCCGAACTGCATTGTGGGGGAGCGAAGCGAAGATTTCCAGGATTTCCAGGATGTTCAGGATTCAAAAGTTGAGCAATGTTCAACTTTTGAAGCTGAGCTGGAAGCGTCAGCCAATCAAACCCGTTTATGCAAATCTGACAGTAGAAGCTCTAGCCAATCAAACCCGTTTATGCAAATCTGACAGTAGAAGCTCTAGCCAATCAAACCCGTTTATGCAAATCTGACAGTAGAAGCTCTAGCCAATCAAACCGCGTGTAAGCAGGGAGAGCCAGACCGCAGTTCATTTCCTCATATTCCAAACGAGAAATTACGGTAGCAAATCACCCGGTTCTTTACGACCAGACTATTTACCGGGATACAAACCGGAGGAGCCAGGCATGGAGGGAGGTGGCAGAGACAGTGGGTGAAACTGGTAGGTTTTCGCCTGTTTGGGGAGTTTATATATATATATATATTGCTCGCATAAAATCCCCGTTTTTTTTTGCTTTGTATGTCGGGGGCGGGAGATTCACGTGATTGGTTGTTGGTCTTGTTGCTCGCAAAAAATCCCCAAGCTGTCAGACACTCCCAGCTCCAAGATTTTCAAGATTTGTTCAAAGCTGCTGTGTGGACAGGCCGTCAGATAGTTTCACTTTCACACATCAGGCCCGTAGCAGCTGTCACTAGCAGTGAACGATCAGGAGTGAGTGACTGAGAGACCTAGCTGGCAGTTGCTTACAGAAGGATAAACAAGCTCCAAAGCGTAAAGACGTTTTTGTATAGTTTGTGTATACAGTAGGGGTGTAACGGTTCACAAACATTTCAGTTCGGTACGTACCTCGGTTTTTAGGTCACGGTTCGGTACGTTTTCGGTACAGCAGAATTTTTTTTCACAAAACATAAAATATTTGTTGTTTTTTAATTATTATCAAACTGTGAATAATGTATTCACTCAAATAAATACAAAATATAATAAAATAAACATTAGGGTGCAGCATTTCGATGAACTGAAATAATCTGTATTTGAACTTACTGTACTAGCACCTAGCAGCCAGTTTGACATAATGACTTGCTTGTCATTGTATATTCATGTTGTTCTAAAGAAAGATGAACTTGTCCACATTGCTTGCCGAAAGGGCAAATCTGCTGGCACTAATAATGTCTCCTGCTGTGGAGAACACCCTCTCTCTAGGGACAGAGGTAGCAGATACAGCCAGGTAGCGCTTTGCTAACATGGCAACATAAGGATATTTGGCGTTTGTAATAGCTTTGGCTCGGTCTGAACTCTCTGCGAGTGGTGGAGGCTTACATGCTAGTGGGAGTTGGGTTTGCACTTCAGTCATTTTTCTTTTGGTACCGGTGATATTCACTTTCGGGTGATGCCTTTTCAAATGAGTGCAAGTTTGATGTATTGCCAGCCGCGTAACCTATGTTAGTTGAACAATGCCGACAAACAGCTTTGGTTCGGTCCACCTGTCTTTGTCCATCATCCTTGTTCGTAACTGCAAAACCAAAATGTTCCCAAACCGGAGACTTCAATGATGCTGGAGGATTTTCGAGCTCAACTTTATCTGCGTTCGCCATTTCGACAGTTACTCAAATTACTGACTAAATTTGAACGCATCCCTCTGACCAGCTCTCATAGTATGCCTCTCGTCCAATTAAATGACTTGCTCGCTCTATGACGCGTTGAACCCAATGTGAGCAAATTACTCTGAATGCTGCGACTCAGCACCTGAGATTACTTCCAAGAAGTTGTTCACGTTCTCAATTTTTTAAGTTTAACGTTATATTCGTTCGGTACACTTCAGTACACACGTGTACCGAACCGAAGGGCCCGTACCGAATAATTTGGCAGGGAAACGGGGTTCAGGGGGAGTGGCTGTACCCGTAGGATAGAAAATGGGGAAGTGACGTCTGACTCAGAGGTCGCGCGGCTGTGGAGAAGAACGTGTTGCCCACATTCTGTTACTGAGTTTAGGCTAGTTAGCTAGCAGGTTTATTGTTTTGGGTGCAGTCACTTTTGCCTCCACTTGCTGTTCAAATACATGTTGAAAGAAAAAGTCAATCTGTTTACAGTTCTGCTTCATATGGGTGTTGAGATGTTTCCATAGATTTAGTCCCTAATGTTGCTCTCAAAGTGCACCAGATTGATGCATTTAACTTCAACATTTAAAAACAAATCATCCCGGGGGAGCTTGCCCCCAGACCCCCCTAGAGGAGATGAGGTCCACCACCTGCCCACACCCCCTGTTGGTCTCACCCACATTGAGGATGCTTCCTACGCCCATGTTTTATTCCATGTGTCAAGTCAGGCAAATTGGGTCCAGATGTTATTGCATCAATGACCTGCTAACATTAAAATGAATAAATATATGCCGTAACTATTTTACTCTAGGCAACTCAAGGGCTCAGGTAATGTGATGACTATATGAATAATGGTCCAAATTAACATTGAATGCATAGGGTTTTTTGTTAAGTAACATACTTTCGTCGCCGGCCGGCCGATACATGCCGCGCATTAAGTGGGCCTGTCAATTAATCCCCGGGCCACTTTTTCCTCCCAGTCCGCCCCTGACTGAGACTCTGATCCACGGTGCAGGAACCCTTCTCCGTGCCCATCTCAACAAGTGTCCTCAGGCAGATTACACTACACTTCTACACATTCGCTGGTATCCAAAGTGACTTGCATACATACTCCATACTGCGGACAATCAACATGCTGACTGCAGTGGGGATTGAACCAGTGCTCTCCTGATCTGAAGACCAGCGCACTACTCCACTGAGCCACAGCCTCATAATCCTGCGTTTGGATGAGATTCTGTTCTGCCTGTAATCAAAGCACTAAGGTTCTCTTGGAAACGCTAACGATTAGATAAAGGCCAAGAAGAAGATTATGAAATATTATTTTGGGTTTATCACCCCGGTTAATTAATGTCCAATCAAATGTTTCCTTTGATTTATTACACTTGTAAAAGGAGCTCTGCTGGTATCAGTGAAACTGTGGTAATAAGGTTTATGTGCATGTAGTCTTTATCAGATGTGATCAGATATTGTTGTGACCTTTGAGATGTCTTTCAAATAAAAAAATGAAATGCATGTGTAGCTGCAGAGGGTGGACTCAGGTTACTGACGGGGGTCTGTGTGCAGAGGAAGAACTGACCCTGGGTCAGCCGAGGCTCTGCAGTGGACGTGCTTCAGAAGTCCTGCTGATGTGGAGACGCCTCGTACAGTGTGGAGTCTATTTGTATATAACATTACAAGACTGATTGTTATTATTACATTATTTGCTGATCGTGCTCATTTTATGATGCTCATTTTACCCCCCCCCCCCCCCCAGGTTTTGATGGGGAGGAAAGGAACGGAGGGGAAAGTAAGTCACAGGAGAAAGTGTTTAGCTTGCAATATTGAAAGCAAGGTCAGGTGCAGAGACTGAGAGAACACAAAGAGGTAGTCAGAACAGCACATCGCACCGGCCTTGACTTTGTATGGGAGCCGCGCTCCCCCGCACAGCAAGGAAGCAGCATTATGGTTTCCCGCTGTATCTGAAGAAACGTTAGCGAAAACAAATGACGTATGATAGAGACGGAGTAGGGAGGGACTTCGCCAGCCGGCCGAATGATGATTGGAGGATCGTTTTGCCAAGAGACTCTATCTGAGTCTGTGCACCAACCAAAGAGAGCCAAGTCTAAACCGCGGTTTCTCTTCATCTAATCTTGACCAATCATAAATGTACGGGCAACGCCCTGTGTGATAAAATGTATTGTTTCACAAGGTTCGAGGCTCTTGTCCGGAAATAGACTGACAGATTATAGCTTTGCTGTCTGTGTTTTCTAGGACGTGATGGAGTCCTTGGCCAAGTGACATATATATTTTGTTCTCTCATAATAAATAGTTAAACTTAGAAGTCGTCTGTCTTTCCTGGAATTTTGAACACAACAACAGGAAAGAGTTGTCATGGTTTCTCTGTTCTCCTTCATAAGGCAACTCACTGCAGGCTGCTCTCTCTTTAGGAGGGACGCCATGTTGCACAGTAAAGATCTGTATATAAATATACATATTATACATTCATATAGTGGTAGGAAAGCCATTAAAGATGTCTGACCTGAGTTTCCTCTGACTCTCACTCTCCAGGTTACTTGTCCTGCCAACACATTCTCACTCCCAACTCGGCCTATGTTGACGTTATATCAGGGTCCCTGTCGTCACTTTCCAACGCAAGAGGGGGCCCTTTAGCATCGAGTTTCAACTATCAGGGAGTCCCATTGACTTGCATAGAGCTCCCTGAACGTTGGTAATAGACGAGTTGGGATCACGGCGAAATGCTCTCTGCAGATCCATTCTCACAGCGTTTATCAACCTTTTTCTTACTCAATATCAAGCCACCATACTTGCCAACCCTCCCGATTTTCGCGGGAGACTCCCGATTTCATAGCCCTCTCCCGGTATCCTCCCGGGGTCATATTTCTCCCGCATTTCTCCAGATTTCTGACCAAATCAGATTTACTCACGACTGTTTCCACTCTGACTTTAATACAGCTACACCATTGTTTGGTTTCCATGGTAGCGCGTCTCTTTAGTAGCGTGCGCAACTGAAAGTCTGAGAGGGTGAGGCCAGGGCTGCCCCTCCCTACAGGCCAATCACGCAGGCTGCATGGGGCCCCGCCTTGCGCGGGGGGCCCCGCCCAGAGGGCCTCAGCTGCTGTGCGCAGTTCTCCGCGCACCCCCGGC